TTCGGTGGTAGTAACTACATTGATCCAGGCATGGCTGGCTCTTATAGACTCCAGCCAGTGGGGGAAATGAAACAAAATTATCTTCCTCTGCTTCCCCATAAATGAGCAGAATTTTTATCCATCATCTATGGGATTCTTATTGTGGAAGAACCTGTTTTTTGATAGATAGCATCAGCTTGCATGATTATACTGCATAAAGAAAAAGGGGAAAAAAAATAGGTCCTTTCCCCGTAATGCACTTTTAGTTCAGCAAAAGTCCTGGTTCAGTGGCATCTTGTTTCCATGCTGGACATGTTGCAGGTTTCTGGTTTTTCTTTCATTCTCATTTTCCATGCCTATTTTAGCCCTGTGTAAAGCTGTTTAATTCTGTAACCCATTGCTGGCATGCTTGGTTTTTGTTTTATTACATGATGTTAACTTTCGGTGTCTAAATACTTTTTCTTTTTGCCAGAAGCCTGTATTGGCACATGGGTGTCATCTTACACTTGCTTCAGGGCAAAATGTTTGAGTTTTAGCCAAAATATCAAATAACCAGCTTGGCATTTTCACTGGTTTCCTTTTTCTGATGTGTGTGGAAGAACATCTATAGAGCAGTACATACATGATATCCTCCCCCTGTTGAGATTCAGAGGTGGGGGTGGGGGATAGGGCTGATACTGCTCAGGGTTCTGCTCAAGTGTACTGATACAAATATGGCTTTGATCCTAGAAAAGATGCTGTACAGCAGAGGCATATTGAGCTCATAGTGTCCAGGGGTGAGGGTATGCTGACCCACTGTAGGTTGTGGGCAGAGGGGATGGGGGAGGCAGGGGTAAGGGGACCTGCGTTCTGGTGGGGGTAGCAGCCCCATGACCAGGCTCCCTGGGAGATTATCCTGGTGCCTGCCCCTGCCCACCTATGACAAGTGTATTTCTGTTGGAGCCTCTCTATTGGTGACTCTGCCTTCCTGTTATGGGCCAACCACCTGCTTACTTGCCTGCCATGTCTTGATCTTGATTGATTAATTAATTGATGTTAATTGAGGCAGGAGGCTGCCCATGTTATTCACCCCGGTGCCAGGGGGCGCTATCTGCAGCTCCTTTTCCTCCCCTACACCGCATCCCAAGCCTCGCAGATGACACTGACGAGGTTTGGTCTGGGGTCTTGTTGTGATTTGGCCCTTTTTTCCTTGTCTCCCCTTTGGGCTTTCCACTGCCCTGTCTTGTTCCGTGCCTTCCTGGTGCTCTGCTGCCCCCTTGCTCTGGGGCTTCTTGCTGCCGTGGAGCCCCTGTGAGGCCTCCTCCAACCCCTAATAGCTTCACTCAGTCCTCCGGTTGTAAGCAGCAAACACAAAAACACAAAGCCCCTGGGCTAAACATAAAAACCTAAACCATCCGGCCAAAACCACATTCAGTCCCTACCAGGAGAGTGCTCCAACCCGTAGCAGCAATCGGGGGCTGCTCATGTAGTCAGGCTTCTCCCCTCTGTCTGCACTGGCCGAGCTCCTCTTCCCCAGCTGCCAGCGGAGGACTACCCTCCTGGCCTCACTGTTGGGGTTTATATGCGTCAGGCCCTACCCCTTCCTGTCAGCTGACTCCCCAGCAGTTGTCTTAGCAACCAGCACCTGTGACTCTGGCTGCCCTGGTAACTAGCAGCTGGGCTTCCCCGTTCTCCCTGCTAGGGCTCTCTCCCAAGCTGTTTCTACTCTCAGGCGCAGGGCACCTGAGTGACCTGCGACACCGCCCCACTCCTCTACCTTCAATATAAGGCTTCTTAGGCAGGAGGTGCAAGTCTCTCCGCAGAGAGAGCTACAGATCATTTTTATTGAATGGGTCACAGTAGGTTGCCAGATGAAGGGCAAGCTGCTGCAAAATTTTACTTCAACAGCCACTGCTGCTCTGCTCAGCTGGAGCTCTGTAACAATCAGCTGGAGTACCACAGTAATGTGTGCAGAGTTTGTGGGTACACATACTCCTGTTTGGGTCACAGAACTTCATCTTTGCAGGGGATAAGGAACCTAACCCTGCACAGTAGCTAGGCTTTACTGTTGTGTTCAAGGGATGACAAATACATAATTCAAGAAAATGAACCCTGGGATGGGTAAAATAAGTCTGCTTTGTTGTGCAAGTAGCAATTTAGTTAAATTTATTAAGGATTTTGGCTAAACCCAATGTTCCCAAACAATATAACAGGCATAAAACCATAATATAAATTTAAGCAAAAATAACAGAAATACAAATAATAGAGCTAACCATTATACAAACATTCTTTCTACTCCTAAAATTAGCATAATCAAATACAAATATGCTGATAAATCAGGTCAAAGACATATAAAAATATTGTGCATAGGTCCACAATTGACATAGTAAAAAAACAAATATAGTGGTCAAGTTTATCAGTCATGTCAGCAGTAAAGGATGTTTAGCTTTGATTTGCTTATAAGGTTGAAGCAGAGGTTGCAAGATGGTTTACTAAATATGGATCTGTTTGCTGGAGGAACCATATTAATTTCTTTCTATTTGAGAAGTATGTCGGTTTCTGCAAGAACAGTGATAAACGCTTTCTCCTTGCATTGTTGTATAGAGAGCATTCTAAGACATGAATAGTATCTTCCAAAACTCCTAGACAGGCTGGGCATTGTATTTTAGTCCTTGGACTGGAGAGTCTATGTCCAGCCAAAAGAGCTGTGGGCATCTGTTCGGTCCTGAGTCTAGTCAAAGAGGTTTGTAACTTATTGTTGAGATCCAGCTGTAAACACCTTTCTCCCCCCCCAATCTAAGTTCCAAAGAATATATAGAGGGGCCACTGCAAAACCATTCTGTCTGGCAATATCTCAGAACCTCTGGAAAACCTGTACCTTTTTTGTGGGGGAGAAGAGTCTTTCATTGTCCTTGACATAGTGTTCCATCTCAGAAAGTGCAAAAGTACTTGAAAGACAAGCTAGCCTGGGAGATTGAAGAGAAGGGGAATTATTGATGTCTTCTATAGCACAATTTGAGCAAGCAAGACAGTAGAAGAGGCAGGGTTTTAAACCCAAATCCTGCCATTCTAATGATAATACTAGTTAAAACGGAATCTAATCCCATCTCTAATATCATGAAGGATGTGGGAGTTGAGGGAGGAAGAGCCCTGAGAAAATTATTCTGAGGTATGTCCACATCATTGCTGGTGGCATAGCCCCATACTTCAGCACCATGCAGGATTTGACACACAACTTTAGCTTTATATGCTAATATGGGAGCTTGGACTGATCGCCCTGCTGTGGTCTCATAACATTTCTTTATAGCCACTGCTGATTGAGCTGCCTTAGCTTTAATCAACCGAATGTGCTGTTTCCATGATGGAAAAGCTGTAAACATCACAACCAAGTACCTAATAAGTTTTAACAACTTCAAGTTCGATTCCTTCCATGTTCCATGGATATTTCATCAAACAACTTCCTGAAGACATTATTTTGGATTTATCATAATTTATTTTTAAGTTATTTTGTCCACAAAGATGCTTCAAAGTTGTAATTTGCTCTCTGTAATCCAATGGGCATTCTTGACTGTATGACAGTGTCATCTGCATACATTAAGATAGGAATTGGGGTTGCTAGTAATTTTGGGGAATGAAAATGAGTGTCTTGCAAATTTTCAGTGTTGTCATTCATATAAAGGTTAAATAGCAAAGAAGCAAAAATACATCCTTGTCAAACCCCTTTGTGTCTGAAATTTTGTGAGTTCGCCCCTCAGGCCCCACCTGACTTGTGCCTGTGTGTCCTTATGATGATCTATCAGTAGATGCAAAAGAAAAGGGTCAATTCCGTAATTTAACAATTTCTCCCAAAGTTTACTTCTATCTATACTGTCAAAAGCTCTTGACAGGTCAACAACTGTGACATGCTCAAATGATGCTGATTTGTACATTTGTATAGCAGTTTGAATAACTCTGAATTTGAATGATGAAAATTTATCAAATTGTTTTGATGAACAGTGTTTGGAGAATCTATATGATATGCACCGTCTAAATGCCGTGAACAAAAAACTGCCTGGAGTCTAGAATGATTGCAGACATGCATGTAAACCAAACATACTAACACCCTTGAGGTCATAAACTTTTTAAGGACTAGCAGAACAATACAGTCATCCTATCTCTCTAAATGTGATTCTTGTAGCTTATTGGTTGATTAAGGGTATCTGTTAATCTTGGGGGGCGAAGGGGGTACGTATTCCTGCATCTTCCTTGTTGTGATTCTAAAGCTTTAGACATCTCTTAATTTTTGGAGTCCAGTCTTACCAAAAAGGTATGAAAGAAGGGAAAAGCATTGTCTGTAGTAACTGAAGTTCTGATGTTACATATTTTGTAGGGATTGAGAATGAGTTCATGCTACTACCTTAAACTTAGTCAGGCCGTCATTTTAATAGTGGAGGATACCACTGTCAACTCAAATAAAGAATCTTTTTGTGAAAAATCTTTAATTCATCAGTATTAAATTTAGTATACTGTACTTTGTAGCAGCAGAGTTTCTTTTTTAAAGAGCAAGACTTAAGGTAATTAGTTAATTTAGAATTTGTCACTACTATTGTAGAGCAGTTTTCTTCTGCTTTGCTTTCATTTTCTTAGTAGTTTAAATATTTGATTCCACAATTGATATTCCAATTATTTGTGCTTACCAGAGAATGAGTCCTTGGATGCAACCACTCTGACATTAGGTGCTATAACCACTTATCCCTTCTGACTTACAAATGTAATACATAGAATACTAAAAAGTATCCAACTGTGCATAACTTCAAAAATAATTATTAAAACTATTGGACATAATGTCATAGTTGCCTCAAGCATATTTCAGTAGCATGTGACTTTTTTTAAACATATATTATTCACATTTTTAAAAACATGAGGAAAGAAACTTAGCATGCAGACAAACAAGCTGTGCTGGATAGTATACCTTTGCAAATCTGGATGATCTGGATTAAAACAAATCTAAATGTTAATAATTTTAGTGTTTTATAAGTTAAAAATCCTCTTTTGTTTTCCAGAAACTTTTTCACTAAAAGGACGAAGGAACTCAAACCTGCTGTTCAAAGTGCTCCTGGCTGGAAGTTATTTGGAAAAGTCCCTCCCAGAGAGAATCTTCAGAAAGATTCCAAAATAATTCAACAGGTGAGGGAGTATATTGCATAGTTTTAGGTATGAAACTTCATTAAAGTTGATTTGTTTGAAAATTGAATGCATTTCTAGTTATGTAGTATTTCCTTAATGGATGGGTGTCCTCTGTACGTACCACTGACAGTCCATTTGGCAGTCAGAGGAGAGCAGTTAGGAATCTTCTCAGATTTAAAGAGAAAATTATTGGAAAAACTGGGGAAAAAGATAATGTGGTTAGCTGAGTGTGGCTATTTTCATTTTTTTAGCAGGTGGTTTCACAGGCTTGAAAATTATCTGCCACACATCTGAGATTGTGTGAAAGTGTGGCAGAGGATTGGACAGGGAGATGTGAAAACATGCACGTTCAATTGTCTGCAAAGCAAATTTAGGAAATGATCTGCCAGTGAAACAGGATGATTGATATTATCTCATCTCTACTAAATTGATGTTATCTTTGTAGAAACAAGTTGCATTCAAGCACATTTTACTAAACGGACAATTCTGCATATAACACATTCAAAAATCAAATTACGTTGTTATACCTGTAAATGACTGACATTTTACATTTACATAATTAAAGGTCATAACCCATCATTAAAAGCAGTAACAGATCCTTGATTTGGTGTAGCTAGACTACTGACTGTCAAATTGAGTTTGGCATTTTCATTCATTGTCATATTTAGTGGTACGGTTGTATGTTGGGATATTACTAATTTTATTTTGTGCTAGTCATTTTAATATAAATTTACTTTTTTAGATTCTCTTTGTAAAAAGTTTATCATCGAACGGATGTTATTTTTAGTTAAATTATATCATACTTGTGCATATGAGTAATCCCATTCAGGATTTCTGTACGTTTTAGGATCCTTGATTCAGGCTGATCCAACAATGTTTATCTGGTTTTTTTAATGTATTTAAGTCTTTGCTTCAGTTAGTTACAATTAAACTAGTTCTATTCAACTCTGGTAAATTGCCTTAAATCCTAATTATTTCTGTGTAATATTTCATATATTTGACAAGGCTACTACAGATTCCCTGTTTAATCCAGTCATTCAGTAAAATTGGCTAAGAGCTTTAAAAGCTACAAGCAGGCCTTTTGTTTAATTTTTTTTAGCAGGTAACTTGGTTAAATCTGGTAGAAATAACTGTTCCACTACATTTCAATTTTTAAATTCAGGAGTTTGTTACCTGAAGGCAGTTGGGTTCTAAAAAAGACAGCTGAAAATAAAATCATTTAAAGAAGATTTAACTGTTTGTCATTACTTTGATACTGGATCTTGTCTTCATGTTCATCTCTGTACATTTTTCTTAGCATGATTTTTTTTTGCTATACTACTAAGTGAGAACAATGCTACTTTTAATAATGCAGTATTACCAGTTGTTTAAAAATAATCCTTTATATTCTGATCCTGATTCTGCCTGCAGCTGAAAAGCTGCCATACAAATCCTGTTTCTGCTGGTGGGGGCAGTAACCTGAGTCCCTGGGAGCAGAGTCTTTCCACTATCTGGCTTCTCCATCATACTCTTCCACTGACAGATGCATCTGGCAGAGTAGAGTGGAAGCTGTTTTCAGTCTGAGTCTTTTGACAATAGAGGCATTTCAGGATTAGTTAAGTAAAAAATTGGAAGTTTGGAGCTTGAAGGGTTTCTGATAGAGCAGGAAATAACAGTCCTAAAGCATTTTTGCTGTTGATCCAATTGAGCAAGGAAGTGTTTTATTAAAAACAAACAACCCCTATACAAACAATCTTCTAGTTGTGATCCTCCTGACCTTTGCTAAAATGCTGAAGTACCTAGTTATTTATCAGTTTCCAAGTGAATTCCATGTAAGCACGAGTGATAAACCAAAATATGATTTCATTCTCTCTTAGTTAAGGGGGAAAAGTTTTATATATTTTCTAAGTATTGTACATAAGGTATTATTTGAAGGCATCCATTTGACTTCCAAAGTATTGGCTCCTTTTATTTTAATGTTAATGCTGGCTTCATTTAATTATTGCAGAAAGTATTCCCTAGGTGTCAGCTGACTTAAGGCTGGTCTCTAGTAAAAACTGTCTATTAAGAATCCAGATGCATCTGCTCCATCTTGGGAACAGAACTGGAGGAATACATGTGTTACTTCATGGTTTACAATGATCAGTACCCCTTTCCTAACAGTCAAAAAACTTACTCTTGTGACAGATAATACACCATGAGCATCTATACATGTGCTCCAGGTTAAAGGGGCAGGGAGTACTTTAATTAGAGTGGCTCTGAGAGCTGCTCTAATCAAAGTGCCCGCAGCATCACATGTATTAAGTGTCTCACACTTCAAAATGGCGGCGGGAGGACTTTAACTAAAACTTGTTTGACAAGCTTTAGTTAAAGCGCCTTTGCTGCATTTTGAGACACAGGGACACTGAATACACATGACACGAAGGCTGCTGGAGCATGCTAATTAGCACACTTCAGCTGACTCAGTCAAGTCTGCTCCAGTGTGCGCTAATTAACACATCAGAGCAGTGCTCTGTCATGTGTATAGGTGCCCCATAAGACTGGCAATTTTATTTCTTTCTCCTCTCCCCACTCAGGCTAGGTACAGACATTCAAAAAGCCTGAGGCAGAATTAGTTTTAAGGTAGCAGTTTTCTGTAAGTGGTGTAGTTTAGATCAGTAGCAAACAGAACACACATCCTCTTCTCCCCCCTTTGTGTGTGGGGCTGGTAAATCTTGGACCAGGTTCCACCATTTTTCAACCAGTCTGTGCGCCAAACTTCTGTTCTGTCACGCTGGGTATATACCATTTTTGATCTTTTATACCAGTAAAAGTGTAATTGTCTGTTCCTGGCCTTGGTGAATATCTGCTTTAGTTTTTGTTACTTGTAGTCAGTATCTGTCTCAATTTAACTTTTTCATAGATTGATTGTGTCCCTGTTCTGTTACTGAAGGTGGAATATATACAGTTAAAACAATAATTAATTTGGTCTGTTATACAGGTCATATTACTTGATCACAGTGGTCCCTTCTGGCTTTATAATAATCTGAGTAATAAATAGATGATAGGTAATATTTTTAGTTAAGGTGCTATCTTCCATGAGTTACCTCTGATATATTTAATGAGTATATTATTCATCGGAGTGCACTGTCGGTGTCATCCAGGATTTTGTAACATAAGACATTTTGGAAACTGGAATCTAAATCTGACTTGAGATTCCGAAATCTTAGACGTTTTCTAGATGACTGTTTTTGGAATCCATGTGAACATTGGCCAGGCATACACAACTTTTATGAAAATGATTGGGATGCAGGACATGGGTGCGAACTCTTATTTTTGCCAAGGGGAGGGAGGGTGTCTAAGATGATGGACATGTGGAAAGTTTTATACATTTCAGGTGACATTCTTCTCAAGGTCCCTACGTACTCAGCACCCTCAGGCCCCTACATACTTGACACCTGTAATGCAAGGGTACAGAGCTTTCTCTTCAAGTATATTGATGACATGAATCTTGGGGGGGGGGGGCATAAGAGAACAGAATTATGGTTCAAAAGGTCCTTGCTAGCTGGGCACTAGACAAGAATATGAAATTCAGGAAAGAAAATATAAGTTGTTGTAACTAAAGAAGAAAAATAAATGCACAAATAGAGAATGGGGGATGAGTGCTCCTGCCTAGTTGATGTTGAAGATATTATGGAGGTTTTGGGGGAATAAAATATAAAATACCAAACATGAGCCAGCAATATGAAACAGTTGTAAAAAAAAAAAAAAAAAAAAGCAAATGCATTTAACAGGAGCAACTTGAATGATAGTATCTCTCTGCTCTGCTCTGCGTTGCCTAATTGTACTGTGTATTCATATTTGGCTGTAGTGTACCTAAAGATTTTTACAATGTCTAGATTTTTTTTTCCTATTTATATTTGATTGTTCAAACGCTTGCTTTGTGCAGAACTACTTTTTAAAAACCATCTCAGGGTATATAACTTGCTCTACTTTTCTGTGTGTGCTTGGAACTGTAAATGCGGACAGTGGACCTCTGGGCCTTATCCCTGTGTTTATTTGCTACCACTTCATTTAAAAGGCTAATGATAAATCATTTGAATAATCAGTTCCAAAATGATGCATTCAAAATCAATTTTCCTGTATTTGTTGCCTCCTTCTGTATTGTCAAGAAATACTGTTTTGCTTTTTGCTACTTTTCCTGGTGATACCTTCTGTTGGACCAGTTGTGCCCTTCATGAGGTCATTTTGTGCTCAAAGGCTGTCTAACATCTCTCCCAACTATGCTGTTAGGTTAATAAAAGGTGTCACCAAAAAAAAAAACAAACTTGCTTCTTGCATGCTTCCTGGATCATCACAATAACAGTCCAACCCTACTCCTTATATTAAGTATTACTTGGATCAGTAAGAAAAAAGTGTGTTCCTTCTGGCTCTGTACTTTCATTGACCATGTTAAAATCTTTTAATAACTTCAGATGCTTATGGATCATTTCACACAATGTTATTTCAGCTTGATTTATACTGTGGGCTTAAAAAGAAATGGGATCTTTCACAGAGTGGCAATTTTGGGGGCTGTCTTGCTTGGTTCAATTAGCTGTTCAATATCAAGTCCCCTTTTTAAATAGCCTGAATATTTAATATAATAAATTGTTGTTTTGAACATGTTCTTGCAGTTGCTTTGTAAAATAAGGAGGTCTTCCCAATGGTACATACACAGAAATTGACCCAAGTTGTTGGTGGCAGTCAGGAATTCAGTTAAATTATAGTCAGCTGGTCTGAGCAGTAGATGATACTTGGAAATATATATTTTTTTAAATTCAGCCTGGAAGCTTTGCAGAGCTCAGTATTGTGGCACTGGGCTGTACTAGTAGGTCTTCTCTTCAGAGAACTGAGAGTAGGGGAAAAATAAATGTTCCTATGCATGTTTGGAAACTATTACAAAGAAATAAAGGGTAAGACTGGATGATTTGGTGACTTGGTTACACTTGTTGTGCAGCAACTTGCAGATGACTGCCATCCTTTCAGATATATTGAAACTATCC